AAATGGGTAGTAGAGTCCCCACCTCACCATGTTGTTGTTGGGAGAGATTAGTTAACATATGTGTGCAGTACAAAGAACAATCCTTGGCAAATAGCCCTCAATATAAAAGAACTATTTTTATTGTTATTACATAATATTTTTATGCTATCTTCTTTTTAATATACCTTTTTGTACTCTTTTAATTAAGTCTTCAAGTTGATTTTGGCACCTATTCTGTGCTGTTTACCCAGGATTTTTCTTCTTTTTTTTCTTTTCCTGACTTATATGAGATAAATCAACTTTTCTCTAGTCTCTCTTTCTTTCCTCTACTGGTTCAGAAACTTTGTTATATATGCCTGTTAGTGGTTACCCTTACATTTTTGAAAGGCATAATTAATTTATATTTTTAAATCTAAAGATAGTCAATGTCTCTATCTTCCTACTTTGTTCCTACAAAGACCCTATATTGAGAGGTCAGCACTAAGATCCAAATTAGAAATTTTTGGAATTTATTGCTCAGTAAGTAATCTTTTTTCTTCATAATGGAGTCCATAATTCCAGTGGGCCAGTGCCATTTTGTATTCACTGATTGAGTGAAGATCTAGACTGCAGAGAAGCCTAATTTCTACTCACTGTGCAAACCACCTTTTAAGAAGGCTTAAAAAGGGACATTGGGAGGATAGTTAAAACCAACTCTTATCTTTCTTACAATTCTGCAGAGCATATGCCCTGCGTCTGCAACTTGGGTATGCCTCCCCTTCGTTAGATGATGAATTCATGGGGGACTTCACAGGCTGCTGAGGACAAGTGCACTTTTGAATGAATATCAGTCAAAAAGACATTGTCACCTGGAACTGGAAAGTAGAGTTATTTTTGTTTTTTCCCCAATGGTAGCCATTTCAGTTCAAAAGCTCAATTCTTGGAAGGGCCACTTTTTGACACTGGAGAAGACACATGTCCCTATGCACCTGAAAATAAAAAGTTTTAAAATAAAAGGCACCAAAAGCTCTATATGCTTTAGCTCCAGTTGTTCCCCAGCTTCTGACTTACATTTGTCCGTTATTTTAGTTTTACTTTGTGTTTACACTTCTTGAAATTCGAATCACTTGTTTTATGAAGTCAGCATTTAGGCACCTTTCCTCAGGTGTTCATCACTGTCTTTATTATTTCTTCCTATATCCCACTTCTCTCTGGGTTCAGCTTTTTATTTCTCAAATACAGCCTTCAGGAGCTCTTTGAGATGAGGTTGTGTTGTTAGTACTACACCCTTTCACTCTCTGAATGAAAAGTTTGTATTTTTTTAGTTTAGATGGGTATAGATTTGTTGATTAACAGTTACTTTTTCTCAAGACTTTGAAGGTGCTATTTTATTGTTTCTGCCTGTTCCTTGCTCTGAACTGTCATATACCTTTTCTTTGTTTGTTTGATGTATTACAAATTCAAAAACTTTTTATCATCCTGGTCCATCCACGAACAGGCTGTGAGCACCCCGTCCAGGTGGCCAGGTGCCCCAAGTATGATAAGGTTGGCCTCTGCCATAAGTTCCCCTTCTTGCCCTCCCATGACTGTGACCTAATAATGATTAAGTCAAGTGTTCCAGTGAGATTTCTTCATGCCTTTGGTTGTGTACTCCATTCTGACTCCCCACAAAGCACTTGTTGTGGGGTCCTTGCTCCTTCTCTGCTCCCTGCCCATTTGGTTGAGTGGCACCCTTGGTGTTCTTCCTGTGTGATCCTTCCTGGTATGCAGTGACTCTGTCGGTCCAGGGCCTATGAATATAATACACTTTGTTTTCCCATACCTCCTTTATGCCTCTCTTGTGGCCATATCGGACTGACCATCGCCTAAAAGAACATAGAACAGTAGGTAATCGTCATCTCTTGTTGCTTTTGAGAGTTTCTCTTTGTTGATACACTGGGGTTTTATCACATTGCGTCTAATTATTGATTTATTTTTATTGGTCCTTTTAGGACCCTTGGGGATTTATGTGTTTTATTAATTATGGGAAGATCTCAGCTATCATCTCTTTATTTTAACAGCTTTATTGAGATATAATTCACATACTTTACCATTCACCCATGTAAACTGTATCATGCAGTGCTTTTTAGTATATTCACAGGTAAGTGCAACTATTACTAATTCCATGTATATATACATATACATTTTATTCAGGTTAGCATCAGATTGATACTAGGTGCATTTCAGTGATATGTGGAAGTTACCTCTTAAAACTGTATTTCTTTTCTTTCTTTCTGTGGTATTATTATACACACTAGGTCTGTTAGTGCTGTAAACTACCAATACATTGTTGTTAAGTACCATCTCCAGTCATTTCCTTAGCCTAAAATGGCTTTTATTCCACATATTTCCTTTGGGATTACTAGCAAAAAAAATACATTTCTATATGTTAGAGGTCTGATACCATGTTATAAACACATTATTTTTTTTAAGTTTTTATTTATTCATGAGAGACAGAGAGAGAGAGAGAGAGAGAGAGAGAGAGAGGCAGAGACCTAGGCAGAGGGAGAAGCAAGCTCCATGCAGGAAGCCCTATGTGGGACTCAATCCTGGGATCCTGAGATCATGCCCTGAGCCAAAGGCAGATGCTCAACTGCTGAAGCCACCCAGGCATCTCTAAACACAGTATTTTATACGTTCCCTTTTTAATCATTAAGAGGAAAAAAATACTCATTTATATTGTTTTTCATAATTACACAATTATCTATTCTAGTGCTTTTTGGTTTTTTTTTTTTTTTTTATGGATTCAAATTCCTCTCTGAGGGTCACTTGCTTTTAACTTTAAGAACTTCCAGGGATTCCTGGGTGGCGCAGCGGTTTAGCACCTGCCTTTGGCCCAGGACACGATCCTGGAGTCCCGGGATCGAATCCCGCGTCAGGCTCCCAACATGGAGCCTGCTTCTCCCTCTGCCTGTGTCTCTGCCTCCCTCTCTCTATCTCTGTGTCTATCATGAATAAATAAGTAAAATCTTAAAAAAAAAACTTTTAAGAACTTCCTTTGGGGTGGGGTGCCTGGGTGGTTCAGTTGGTTACGCATCTGACCCTTGATGTCAACTTAGGTCATGATTTCAGGGTTGTGAGATAGAGCCCCGTGTTGGCCCTGCATCAAGCTCCACACTGGGCACGGAGTGTGCTTAGGATTCTCCCTCCCTCTCTCTGCCCCTCCTCTCTACCTATGGGCACTTTCTCTCAAAAAAAAAAAAGAGAATTTCCTTTGGGATAAAAAGAATTTCCTTTGGTATTTCTTTGTTTTTTTTTTTTTTTATTAAAGATTTTATTTATCAATAAATAAATAGATCCCAGGTCTCCAGGATCACACCCTGGGCTAAAGGCAGGTGCTCAACTGCTGAGCCACCCACGCATCCTTCCTTTGGTATTTCTTAAAAGGCAAATGTAAGAGCAGTAAATTCTCTCAGGTCTTGTCTGTCTGGGGAAAGTCTTTATTTTGCCTTTAAGTTTTGAAAGCTAGGTTTACTGGATATAGGAATCTTGGTTGACAGGGGTTTTTTTGAGCACCTTGAGTATGTTATCAAGACATACAGAGGCCTTCTCACCTCTGTTCTTTCTGCTAAGAAGTCAGCTATAAGTCTTGTGGGGGTTCTTTTAATAGGTAACAAGTCATTTCTGGCTCACTGTTTTTAAGGCTTTCACTTTTTCTTTGACTTTAGCACTTTTACTATGATGTATGTGTCTGACATGTTTAGGCTCTTCACATTTATCCAACTTGTAATTTGTTGTGCTTTCTACATTTAAAGGTTTTGTTTTTCTATGAATTTGGGAAGTTTTCAGCCATTATTTCTTCAGATACTTTTTTCTGCTCCTTCTACTCTCTTCTCCTTTTGGTACGTCCATTTCGTGTATAATGGTACACTCGATGGTATCCCATGTTTCTCTGAGGGCTGCTCATTTCTTCATTCCTTTTCTTTCTGTTCTAGCAGAGAATAATTCTATGTGTTTCTTGCCCTGCAAATTCTTGACCACATGAGTTCTGTAGATTTAACTCCAGTCTTAAGTGAGGCACAGACCTGTGGTTGTGGGATTTCTGATGAATTTTTTTAGATATCCTTACTCCATTTGAAAAGTGAAACAAAAAAAGAAAGAAAGAAAAGTGAAACAAACTTCTTCTCATTTCCCTTTGCCTTCAACTGAGCATGTGTCTTTTGGAGAGCTGCCCCTGCCTCATCCCTCTTCCCTTCTTCCAGGCTTCTGTTGTGTCTGGGGCTGGCTTAGGGCTTTGAGTTTTCAGCTCTCTCTTGTCTCTGGCCTTGGCCATTTCTCTTCCTCTAGCCCTAAGTCAGCTCTGCACAGTTTACCATGTGTGTCGAGACTAGTGGACTGTTTTTTTTTGTTTTTTTTTTTTTTTTTAGTTTTTTATTTATGATAGTCACAGAGAGAGAGAGAGAGAGAGAGAGAGGCAGAGACACAGGCAGAGGGAGAAGCAGGCTCCATGCACCGGGAACCCGACGCGGGATTCGATCCCGGGTCTCCAGGATCGCGCCCTGGGCCAAAGGCAGGCGCTAAACCGCTGCGCCACCCAGGGATCCCTAGTGGACTGTTTTTACAAATAGAACCAGCAGCTTCTTGGGAGAATCATTGGAGACACATTCTCAAATATGTCATAAAATGATTAATATGTATTGCAGCTCCATCTTAAAATTGAAGAAATCTTTAAGTACACTGCTTAGGCAGACACTTGAAAGCAAACATTTCTCCATGGGCTTTCCCCTGGAATCTAGTACTCCTCTCTCTGCTAGCTGTCTGGGCTCCTGGCTATGTGTGCCCTGACCAAGTGTGCTTTGCCCTAACAGTGAGCTGTAGTGACCTCTCTCAGATAGTCACTCCCTGTGGACCAGGCTCACATACTCCAGCACTAGGAGGGCTTTCAGATTGATCTTGCTAATAACTCCTCTGTTGTCATGTCTGCCACCTAGACCCAGGTGGAGAAAGTCAGAGCTCCTTCTGCTGATAATGCATACATATATGCATATTTGTGCTTATTTCAGGTCAAACATGCGTTGACATCAAGGACAATGTGGTGGATGAAGGGTTCTACTTCACCCCCAAAGGAGACGATCCATGCCTGAGCTGCACCTGCCATGGTGGGGAGCCTGAGATGTGTGTGGCTGCCCTCTGTGAGAGGCCCCAGGGCTGCCAGCAATACCGCAAGGACCCCAAGGAATGCTGCAAGTTCATGTGCCTGGACCCAGGTGAGATTGATGGTGGGTCATGAGTCAGCCCCCCTGTTCTGACCTGGAGCCCAGATATCCCTTTGCTTTCTCAGTGGTGGGGACACATGAGGGCTCATGGCACATGGCATAGCAACAGTGGCAGTTTGTTCACAGAGCTGTCTTGCCAGCTTTGATGGCCCAATAGTCTTGGGGGCATGTGTGTGTCATATGACCCAGCCTTCTCTAACTGCCACCTTACAGGTTGGCTTGTGTCAGCTCAGGGAGGTAACAAGTATCATACATCAGTGAACTTGAAGTTTAATGTGGGTGTCTGTTAGTAAATCCACTAAAACTGATGGCTTCGAACCTGATCTTTCTCCTCTCAAGACTTATGTCCCCATTTGAGCTCTTCCCTGAGTTTGGTGATGTGGAGAGTAATGACAGTTTTTATTGCTTATAGTCGTTGATTTTTACTAATAAAATCTTTCAGAAAAAGATTAAATATTACCTGATTAAATATTACCCTCATTTTTGAGAAAAAAAAAATTCCTTTCTACCAGGTGATGCTTTGTGGTTAGACACTGCACAGACATGTGGTCTCTAGATAGCCCTCTTTTCCTTTACAAAAAAAAAAAAAAAAAAAAAAAAAGCAGCAGGTAACAATCTGGTGTATAGGACCATTAGTCTGCATCACATTCCCTGCAGCATACTGAATTGTTCTTCACACCAGTGTAGTTGGCATCTCTGTGAATTCATGATCACAGGAGAAATGTAAATCAAAAACATGAATTTGTTTTTATCTTGACAGTGTGAGACAGACATGGATAGGGACTTGTGGAAGTCCCTAAGCTCATGCACCCTGTAGAAGAGCAGCTCAGACAGGGCATAGTGACCATCTCCATCCTCCAGGGCCCCTGTGGAGGAGAAACTGTTTTGCCTAGTGCTGGTGGGACAGGAGGTGGAACTGGTTGGTGTCTGAGGGCCACAACAGCTAGAGCTCTCGTCAAGTAGAGAGTAGGCAGTGCCCCTGCATGCCAGGAGGGCTTCTAGGGAGAGGTCAAAGCAGTATCAGAGGGTGTCTGAAGTTTGGCTGAATCAGGCATTCTGGCACATGTCCCACATGTACAATCGGCTGTGGAGAGTAGAGGAGCCTACCAGGGAGCGTGGAGCTTGGGCCTCCTTTTCTTACAGAGTAGATTGTATCTGCTTGTATAAGGTGCATTCATGTAGTATTCTGGCAAGTACTGACTGGATGCTTACCAGGTCTCCTGTGTCCTGGCCACATCACTCTCAACCTCCAGCTCCTTACCTTCCACAGGAGTCAAACTCTGGCTTCCATAAGCACATCGCCTGGATTTCTCATTGCATTTCTTTTTTTTTTTTTTTAAGATTTTATTTATTTATATTTATGATAGAGAGAGAGAGAGAGAGAGAGAGAGAGAGAGGCAGAGACACAGGCAGAGGGAGAAGCAGGCTCCATGCACCGGGAGCCCGATGTGGGATTTGATCCCGGGTCTCCAGGATCGCGCCCTGGGCCAAAGGCAGGCGCCAAACCGCTGCGCCACCCAGGGATCCCCTCTCATTGCATTTCTTAGGAGTCTGCCAGTATTGCCTTACCTCTCCATTCAGGCTTTGTAAGAATGATCAGAACTATATAAGGCCTGTAGAGCCTGCCCAGCCCTGAGGACTTCTTCACAGAGCAGGGCTCTCAGGGCATCTGGATGAGACCACATCTAGTATAGGCCGTTTATCTGAGCAACTTATCCAGGGAGTCTCCCGGTCTCTTTTTCAGCCTTACTTTTGCAGGTCCTAACTGCTTCCCAGGCTGAGCATTTTCTCCTGGGAAGTGTCTTTATTCCGACAAGGAAAGAGACACTGCCACCCAAACTGGGGACATTGGGAAAGTATCCCCTTTAACAAGACAGAATGTCTGCTCTCACCATTCTATTCAAGGTTGTACAGAAAGAAAAGGGCAGGGCCAGAAAAAGAAAATGTATCCAGACCAGAAAGGGAAAATGAAGTCATCTTTTTTTAGTAGATGACATGATTATCTGCATAGAAAATCCCAGAGGGTCTACAGGAAAGTTACTAAAACTAATAGGTATGTTTAGCAAGGTCTCCACGTACAAGGTCAATATATTAAAGCTCTATTGTTTTTATATATATACTACTTGTGAACAGTTGGAAATTGAAATTTCTAAGAAAAGTACCATTTACAATAGCACCAAAAACATGAAACTACTAAGTTATAAGCTTTACAAATATGTGCACAAGCTGTGTGCTACAAACCATAAAATACTTATGAAAGAAATAAAAAAATGTAAATAAAAGAAGAGGTTTACCATGTTCATGGATCATAAGATTCAGTATCACTAGGCAGTTAATATCCTCAAATTATCTGTGAATATAATTCTGTCCCAATCCAAATTCCAGCAAACTACTTTTATAGACATTGACAAGCTGATTCTAAAATTTATGTAGAGGGGTGCCCTAACGGGCTCAGTCAGTGGAACACATGACTCTTGAGTTCAAGTTCAAGTCCACGTTGGGTGTAGAGATTACTTAAAAATTAAAAAAAAAAAAAAAAAAAAAAACAACCTTAAATAAAACCCAAGTAGAAAGGCAAAGGAATTAGAATAGCTAAAACAGTTTTTGAAAAGAACAAAGTTGGAGGATTGATGATACCAGATTTAAAACTTACTGTACAGGGCAGCCCTGGTGGCGCAACGGTTTAGCGCCGCCTGCAGCCTGGGGGGCGTGATCCTGGAGACCTGGGATCGAGTCCCATGTCGGGCTCTCTGCATGGAGCCTGCTTCTCCCTCTGCCTGTGTCCCTGCCTCTCTCTCTCTCTCTCTCTCTCTCTCTCTCTCTCTCTCTCTCTCTGTGTCTCTATAAATAAATAAAATCTTAAAAAAAAACTTACTGTACAGTCATAATAATCAAAACAGTATGGTATTATCAAAAGAAGAGACACCTAGATGAGTGGAACAGAATAGTCTAGAAATAGTCCCACATTTACATGGTCAACTAATATTTCACAACAGTACAAAGGCAATTAAATGGAGAAAGGATAGTCTTTTAACAAATAGTGTTGAAACAATTGGACATCCATATGCAAAAACACACACACACACACACACACACACACCTTTAACTATACATTCTACTCTGTATAAAAGTTAACCCAAAATAGTCTTAGACCTAACTGTACAACCACACATTGTAATACTTCTAGAAGAAAATGTATGCTCTAAGAAAGTAAAGTCTGTTAAAAGAAAATAGAAAACATAGAAAAATCTTTGTGACCTTGGGATAGGCAACATTTATAGCTGACATCAAAACCATGATCCAAAAAAGAAAAATTGATAAATTGCACTCATCAAAATTAAAAACTTCTGCCTTGGGCAGCCCGGGTGGCTCAGCGGTTTAGCACCGCCTTTGGACCAGGGTGTGATCTGGGGTCCCGGGATTGAGTCCCGCGTCGGGTTCCCTGCGTGGAGCCTGCTTCTCCCTCTGCCTGTGTCTCTGCCTCTCTCTCTGTCTCTGTGTCTCTCATGAATAAATAAAATCCTTAAAAAAAATAAAATAAAAACTTCTGCGTTTTGAAAGTTGTTTAAGAGAATGAAAAGATGAGCCACCATCAAAGAAAAAATATTTGCAAAACACAAATCAGAGGTCTTGTGTTCAGAGTATATAAAGACTCTAAAAAGTCAACAATAAGAAAATAAACCACCCTATTAAAAAGTGAGGAAAAGATTTAAAATGAGACCTCACCAAAGAAGGTACATGATGGCAGCCAAGCAGCTAAAAAGATGTTCAACACTGGTCATTTAGGGGAACAGATTGAATGCACGTGGGATACCATACCTAATGAAAGACTAAAATAACAATTGCCAACACTGTTCAGTGACCTGGGTGCAGAGCAACTGCCCTTCTCACAGTGCTCTCTCCTCCCATCCTGTGCTGCTGCCCTGGGGTCATGGGATCATGAAGCTCTAAGAGGTGAGATGGGGTACCCAACTGTGTAGCTGCCAGGAACAGAGCCTTTGTTAGAGTCCAGGGCATTGCCCTCCAGTTCCTGCTGAGCTTCTGCTTCACCTGCTGTCTCTGATGGAAATTACAAACTATTAACCACATAACCAAACTCAGTGAAGTGGTGAGCTTGTCATCACTGGAGTTCTTCATGCACAGGCTGGACAGCCATGTAGAAAGGACTTGGGATGTCTCAGGCATTCAGACCAAGGGTCAAGCCAGGTGGACTTCAGGGCACTTTGAGTTCCAAGAGCATCTACCACAGCAGGACATGTCCTCTGGGGCCCAGGGGCTGGCTGGGCACCAGTAGCATGGAAGACAGAAGACAACCCCACTCATGGTATTGTCCAGAGCCCCATAGAGAGACCAGTCTTGGCATGAATCCCAGGGATCCAAAAGTTGCCTTCTGGCTCTTAGGACAGTGCTGTCTTCTTTGTGTCTGAGTGTAAGTGGCTTTCTTCTAGGAGTTGCTTCCTCCCTCATAATCACCATGGAGGGTGACCTTGACTGTGTCCTTGGGTTTATTTTAGAAGTGATTAGTAAGAGTCATTGCAAAGGGGCTGCTGCTTTAGGTGCCCCCTTGGGATCTCTGAGCTGGCCACCAATTAACAGACATATCAGCAGCCTCCTGAGTTGACAGACTTCCTCTCACAAAGACAGAATGTTCCCCTGAGACTGGACGAGAATCAGAGGCACCAAAAAAGCAACTAATTGGTGAGAGGATGTCTTTTCCACATATTTTCATCCCAAGCGTTGTCAGCAATGAGTGCAGCTTTGAGGGAAGCTTCCTGGCCCTGTGGGAAGAGGGCAAGCACGAACTCAGACCATCTCCATTGGTATGGAGCACACTGGGCCAGCAGAAGCAGTAGAAGGGCCCTGGGAGCCCGGCCTCTCACATGGAACCCATGTTGGCCATGAAGTGTCTCCTTGGGGCTGGTGGTTGGGGACCTGCCCACATGGCTGTCACAGTGTTGGGATTTGACAGTGCTTGGCCCTTCTACCCACATGGAGTCCTGTTTCCAGTAGCTACGGGTCAGTCCCTCCATTGAAGCCTCCATGGCCTTCCCACTGGTTTCATGGAGGCAGGTATTCCTGGGACCAGTTCATGGTTCTGTTATTCTGTGACTTGGTGCGAGTGGCCCATCTCATCTAGGTGAGAGCCCCTGGAGATGTCTCCTACACTGTAGGCATTCCTCCGGTGCACTTCTCTTTCCTCACACCTCATCCCATGATGATCATGTGTGCCCCACCCACAGCACCTCCACAGCAAGCACTAAACAAGCACTGGTGGGCACCAGGGCAAGGCAGGGTGTTTCCATGTTGGCAGTGTCAACATTTGGAGCACTGTGGTGAGGGCCTTATGCTCAACAGGATGTGGAGCAGTATCCCTAGCCTCTATGCACTAGATGCCAGTAATGCCTCTACCCCCCGAGTGGTTAATGATGACCAAAAGTGTCTCCAGACATTGCCCAATGTTCCCTGGGAATTAGAGCCGCCCAGGTGAGCAACCCTGGTCTAGGGTCTGGAGCTTGGTCACATGTGCCTGATTTTGTACTGTGTGGTTGGGGGCATAGAGGCCCATAACAGAGCACCCCCTAGCTTTTTAGGCAGAAGGGACTCATCGCATGGAACTTAGGAGTGCTTGGCTGGAAGGTAAAATATTTTTCCTGGCCCATGATTTGCTTCTCTCCTTTGGTAATATCCCAGTATTCTTGACCTTGAGCTGTTTGATTTCTGCCATCTCTTCTAAGACCATCAAGTGCAGGGAATCAAGAAGGAAGTTGTTTTGTGCACATATCTGCCTGGTGGTGAAGGGCCATGGCCTTTCCATAGCACTAAGCCCCTGGGGGGGCGGTCAGACTCTTCTTTTCTGTGAACAGCCATTTTCTTTCTTCTTTAAACAGATGGCAACAGCCTGTTTGACTCCATGGCCAGTGGGATGCGTCTGATCGTTAGCTGCATCTCCTCCTTCCTCATCCTGTCACTGCTCCTTTTCATGGTCCATCGGCTTCGCCAGAGGCGACGGGAGCGCATTGAGTCCCTGATTGGAGCCAACTGTGAGTGTGCCTGGCCCTGCCTGTGCAGCCACTGTCAGGGCCCCACCCTAGGCTGTGTCCCCTTTACGGTGGGAAGCACAGAAAGCAGGAAGGGGCAAGGAAGAAGGAGAGGATGTTGACAAGGGTGCCCTGGTGTGTCCCTGCCCCACCTATTCACCTGCTCCTGGGCTGAGTGCACACCTGGGGAACTGGAGGAACTGTCCTTAGGACCTGAAATCAGGGTCTGGACATGTGGACGGAGGGATGCATCCTCAGTGCCAGCTGCCCCCGGGCTCCCTGGTGTTCCAGGGCTGGAAGCACGACCCTCGGCAGCCGCCATGTGTTCAGATGGGTGATCACCTCTTACCTTTTCCAGTAGCCTGGACTGTCCGTGGGCCACCCGCCAGGGGTAGGGGGTCAGAGCAGCAGACACTCGAAACTGTTAGGCAGCTGAGGGTGTGACTCGCCCTCCTCAGCTCGAGTTCTCTGCAGTCAGTGGCTTGTGCCCTTAGTAGAGCTTCTGGAATCGTCCCTTGTCCCAGTGAACAAGCCAGGCTCCCCAGTCCATGTGGGGAGCAGTGGGATGGATGCAGACCCTGGGGCTCGAGGTCTGAATCAAGGTGGCGGGAATGCTGAGGGACGCAACTGCACTGGCAGCACTGAACCGGCACGGTCCTTCCCCAGACCCTCTCTCCATGCCAGCTACAAAGACCCTCAAGCTGGAGGAGGGCTGTGGTGATGGCAGGGCAGCAGAAGGTGCAGGACAGAGTGACAGGTCACATGTGGGTGAGAGGCAGGGCCGCACTGAAGGGGGTCCAGGTGAGAGATTCAGGGCTCTTGTGTGGGCAGCTGGGCACACAAGTGTGACAGGAAGCCTGATGCCCTGGGCCTGGGGGGTGGCAGGGCCAGCCCTAGGAGAGGGTGGCTGACGTGGGGGCTGAGCCATGTGTCTTTGAGCGACTTGGTTGCTTGTTTCTCCCTGCGGTTGCCCAGTACACCACTTCAACCTTGGCCGGAGGATCCCTGGCTTTGATTATGGCCCAGACGGGTTCGGCACTGGCCTCACTCCACTACACCTTTCTGACGACGGGGAGGGCGGCACGTTCCACTTCCATGACCCTCCACCTCCCTACACCGCATACAAGTACCCAGACATCGACCAGCCTGATGATCCGCCGCCTCCCTATGAGGCCTCCATCAACCCTGACAGCGTGTTCTACGACCCCGCAGGTGCTTCCCCCCGCCCCCAGGGACAGGGAACAGCACGTCACTCACCGTCCACCATGGGTAGCCAGAGACCCGGTGGCCCCCCTCCCCAGTCCACAAGACCCTCAGCCTCCACTTTTTCCTGGCCTTCCGCTTTCCCTTTGGTTTTCCCTTTAAAGTGGAAGGAACCACCATCTGTGGTGGTGTAGATGAAGAGCAGGCGGGCTCTTCCCAGGGCTGCACGTGCAAATGACTGCTGGCAGTGGTCCGGTGAACACCTGCTAGCAAGGGGCCCTTGAGGCACACTCAGCTGGGCTCGAGAGCTGGGGAGCCAGTTGCTGGTGGTTGTGGGGACAGGGCTAGCCCAGAGGTGCAGGGGCCCGCCCTGAGCCAACTGCTCGGCTGTAAAGACACATATGTGTGGTAGGCTGAAGAGACACCATCATGACATTCCCTCCTGTCCGGAAGCAGTTCTGTGAAGTGGGAAGAAGGCCCTGTGACACTGGCCAGATTAATCTCTTGTCCATCTGATACTGGAAAGTCATTCCTTGCAGGGCTGTGGAGCGCAGAGGGAATGCCAGGTTCCCCACCCATTGCCTGGCTTGTCCTTCTCCCTGTGTGCAGCTCAGGTGTCTCATCCCATTTGCCTTTGTGTGAACACCCTCTAACACACACCCCTGCGGTACGACAGTGGGCCGTGCCCTACTCCCAGGTGGCCGACTCCTCGCGCACCCACATGCCACAGCAGAACCGGTGTCCTGGGGCCTGTTTGTTCACAAGTCCTGCTTCTATGGTCTGTAGGCAAGACCTAGATTGATCCGATTATCCCAATCTGCTGTCAAGGGGGTCAGGGTAGAACAGGCTTCCTGCCAGGGACCCTGCTGGGGAGCAGCAGGTCCCAGATGCCTGCATGGAGCAGGCTGTCGGAGCAGATGCTCCCTGGGGCAGGGTACCGGGACTCGGAGGCTGGGGAAGCCGCCAGGTGAAGGTGTGCACCGGGCCCCCATGGCCCGAGCCTTCCGAGGGCAGAGTGACAGGGAGCAGGCATGCTGAAGGCATTGGGCTGCCACAAAGCTTCCCTCAAAGCGAAGATTTCTGCATATCTCCGTGAGGTTTACAGAGCTGTGTGCTCGGGGCCTGCCTCCTGCATTCCCATCCACATATTCCAGCCACAGCCTGTCCTTGGCCAGCCCGGAGCTCCCTCCTGTCACAGGAGCCCTGCTTTGACTCCCCTCAAGTCAGAAAGAATTTTCCCCCTCCCCTGACTTTGTTTGGCTGACCATCAAAGCCTGTCCCCGCAGTCACACAGCATGGCTTGCTCGTGGCTGAACCATGGCACCTTGCACCTTGCCAGGTGCAAAGGTGAGGGGTGAGCACACTGCCCCCCCACTCACACCTTGGTGGGAACATTCAGACAGCAGGAGTGTTCCCTGGTTCTGTCTAGCCCCACTCCTCCCCTGTGCCAGACCCACCATCCTGCTGACCCCCTTTTGTCTCCCTGCAGACGATGATGCCTTTGAGCCAGCAGACGCCAGGCCGCCAACCCCGGGGGATGGTGGCGGTGAAGGTGCATCTCCCCGGTGCCTGGAGCACCCTCTGCCTGCCGCAGAGGCCTCTCTGGCAGATCTGGAAGACTCTGCCGACAGCAGCAGTGCCCTGCTTGTGCCCCCTGACCCTGGCCCGGGAGGCACCCCCACAGAGGTACTGCCAGGGGGTGGCCGCCACAGCCGCAGTTCCCTCAGTACCGTGGTGTAGAGGACGGCCCAGCCCACGGCCCCGACGGCCAGAGAGCACCTGTTTGCTGTCGAGAAACATTGATCCCCGTGGGAGATTCACAGGGCCCAAGTGAGCCTGGACCCAGCTGCACTGCCAGTGTGCACGTGCACAGACCCCACTGACCTCCCGAGGGAGCAGACACTGGGCACCAGGTCTCGAGGGCTCCAAGAACATGCACAGCTTTGGGTCCCTGACTTTTTCTTTTCAAGTGGCAGAAGAATGATGAAGTTAGTTCAGACCACACGTTTCAGAAGTAGGGAACAAAGAATGCACCGGGCGTGTGGGCAGAGGCCAGACCACATCTGGCTTTGGTGGGCTCGCTTGCCGGAGCATGCCGCCCAGGGGAGCCTGCCAAACCGCCTCTGAGCCCGGGGGCCACCAGGGGGCAGGATGGGTGTTTCCAGGCATGGCTATGTTTGTGGACTCTCAGTATTGTCTGGGCACTTGGTCTGCCACAGGGTGGACAGCCTTGGGGGTTACTACAGCGACTGCTCCAAGGGTCCCCACCACCCCCTCCCCCCCCAGCTGTGAACATCAAGGTGACCCTGCCCCAGGCTGGGGGCTGGCCTGGGCCTCTGGTGCCCGAGGCCCTGAGAGGGGGTCTTGGAAGGTTGAACTCTTCACTCTGTCTTTCCAGCTGGGCTCTGTGAACCCCAGTTCTGGGCCAGGAGGTCCTGGCCCCACCTTCTCATTTTTGTCCCCAGCATTGCTGTGCATGGCTCCCCCAGGAGGCAGCCCTGGATTTGGGCCAAGGCCCTTCACGCATGAGTGTTCTGGCCCCAGATCCTCCATTGGGGGTTGGCTGGCTCCTATCTGCTACTCTCTGGAGCCCCCACTCCTATTGAATTTGCCCCTGGGCCTTGCCTGCCCCCCACCCCATCTTGTTTGTGCCATAAAGGGTTGTTTCTTTGGGGGAGGGGTGTTTGAAATTAATGCCCTGGGCTGTATCCATCTCTTGAAAGTCCACTTGCACACCACCACCACTGGAGCCGAGTGCTCAGTGGCCGCATGCCACCTTCCCATGCTCCTCAGCAGCTTGGGGTGCTGGGTACCCTGCCCAGGGGCCTTTTGGCCAAGGGACCCTGTTGCCTGCTCCTGGGCAGTGGTCATGTCTCCTGACACGGGGCTTTTAGCATTTCTGAGGTTTGGAGATTAAGCGGGTTCTGTGCGATTTTTAGCACATCCATATCTTTTCTACGTTGTATGTCTGTACCTTTTCTTTTTGTGTGTGCGTGTATGTCTGTGTGTGTGTGTGTGTGTGTGTGTGCGCGCGTATGTGTCCAAGTTTTTGCAGGTGGCGGTACACCGGAACTCGGCATGGGGCCCCACTCTCCTCGGCCTGCTGTGACGTCGTGGTTGGTACTGAGGCATGGCCAGGTCTGTACCTCTGCCCCTTGGCTCAGAGCATCCTGGAGCCCTGCTCCTGGTCCCCTTTGTAGCCTTTCCAGACGAGTGTGCAATGACAGGAGGGTTGACTAGAAGTGAGTGCTGCTGTGGTGCTTTGTGGTGACAGACCCCGGTGGCACAGTGCAGTCCAGGCGTGTTCTCACACTCTCCCATTGGAAACCTGTTGAACTCTTCCAGTATGGAATGAGATTTTTGAATTGCCCTACAGAACTGGCCAGAGGTATGAATTTTGAACTGCCTGTCCGGGCTCACAAGATCCAGAGTGCTGGAGGCAGGCCTCAGGCAGGCAGGCTATATGCCGAGGAAGCCTGAGCTCCCCTTGCCAAAGGGCTGATACTTCAAGAGAGGCGTCCTGGGTACATGTTTCCCACACTGGCCGCTGAAGACAAAGCAGGAAGGTTGTTGTGCCTCCAGCATGCTGGGCTCAGGGCAGCTGAGGTCTAGAGCAGCATTCACGGGTCTTACAGGAGCCAGGTGAGTGTCCTGAGCGTGTCTGCTTTGGAGTGACCACCCTGGCGGAGCCCATAGGGGCTTGACCTCTATGGCTGAGAGTCCTTCACAACTCCCATGTGTCTGGCTCATGCCTCAGAACCATATATAGAGGGCAGGGGGGTTGGCACAAGATGCATGGGGACTGGGAAACCCTTTGGGGACGAAGGACTGCTGGGGCCAATCAGGCATGCAGGAGGCATTGAGCAGGGAGTGGCCTGAAACGGTGGACCTGCTTCTGGACTGGCCAGGACTCTGTCCCCGCACCAGGGTGCTCAGCCCACTGGTGTCCTTGGGCTGGGCAGAAGGCCTGCGTGCAGTGCTGCTCCAGACCCCTGCCTACTATGTCTGCAAGAGTTGGTGCCCAGGAGTTGATCTCTGCTGGAGGGGAACAAAGGGGGAGTCAGTGTCTGTCTGGCTGTCCTCAGCCTCCTGTCCTGTTGCCACCCTTTGTAAGATCGGACTGCTCCATGGTCCAACAAAGAATCCAGAGGCCAACCCTAGCTACGACTCTTGTGCTTCTGTGAGAGACTGGGTCCCCAGAGGTACAGCCTTCCCCCGCAGGATCCTACTTACCTTGTGGAGGAAGGAGTCAATACTGTACATTGTCTCAATGCCTGTTTTTAATGTTTTCCTTTCACTAAGGGTTTTTAGTTTGGGTTTATTTTTGGTTGGGTTGGCACTAATCCTTTTCTTAAGATGCTGTGAGAACCATTTCATTCAAATGCCAAATAAATTTGTGTTCTGGAAGAAGCGTGGTCAGTCTTTGGTATGACCCAAGTCGGGACGGGATGGCACAGTGGTGGGGATGGGCGGATGGAGGAGTTGGAGCATCTGTGCGGCCAGGCACAGGGCTCCAAGATGCCCTGTTCCTTCTGTCTGACCAATGGTCCTTCCAGTAATTTCCCAGTTTGTGGTGGAGGGGCAAAAGGGTTCCTAGGGGACTCAGGGGACTCAACCTCAGGCAGGTCCTTGTGCTCATCTCATCTTCCTAACCCAGCATCCTGGTAGTTGGCTCCAGGCTGGGCAGGGGGAGCCCCAGGGCTGGAGAGGTGAGGGACCAGGGTTAGAAAAGGAACAGGGATTCCTTAGGGGTAGAACTTTTGAGAACAGGTCCCTCATTCCTGGACACACCTGCTGGGGTGGTAGGGGGGTCTTGAGTGCCATTAGCACTGTTGACAGCACAGCTCTTTCCCTTCACCCCACTGGCCAGTCGTGCTCACATCCACAGGTACACATGTGCCAGATATAGAGCTGTTTCTTTTTTTTTTATTTTTTTTATTTATTTTATGATAGTCACACAGAGAGAGAGAAAGAGGCAGAGACACAGGCAGAGGGAGAAGCAGGCTCCATGCACCGGGAGCCCGACGTGGGACTCGATCCGGGGTCTCCAGAATCGCGCCCTGGGCCAAAGGCAGGCGCCAAACCGCTGCGCCACCCAGGGATCCCTAGAGCTGTTTCTAAATGGTGTCACTGTCCCAGTTAGACCAAGGGACAGAGAAATCAGCCCCACTTTCTGGAAGAGCGAATTGAGGGAACTGAGGCTCAGGCCACAGCCTGGGGTCAGGGCCTCAGGAGCTGCTGCAGAAGCCTGAAGTCCCTTCCTAGGGGGTGCAAGGCAGAGTGGGAAGGCTGCAGTTTCCCAGATGGTGGGATGATCCCCCAAAGGAAGGCCTTACCTCAGGTGTGCAGGGAGCAGAGAGTGGTCCCAGACCCACAACAGGGGAAAGACATACTCCCTACCCCAGTCTCAAAAGTCAGGAGCGTTGGGATTCAAGGTGCCCTCCCCTTTGATCTTCTGTTCTTGCTTGGTGGCCTTGGCTTTTCACTCCTGGCCCCCAGCCTCCCATTTTCTCATCTCTAAATGGGCATCATTGCACCACCCCCATTAGTTGAGAGAATCTGTTCTAAGTGTGGTACTGGCACAAAAACAGACACATAGATCAATGGAACAGAATAGAGAACCCAGAAATGGGCCCTCAACTCTTTGGTCAACTAATACTCGAAGCAGGAAAGGCTATCCAATGGAAAAAGGACAGTCTCTTCAATAAATGGTGCTGGGAAAATTGGACATCCACATGCAGAGGAATGAATGAAACTAGACCATTCTCTTACACCACACACAAAGATAAACTCAAAATGGATGAAAGATCTAAATGTGAGACAAGATTCCATCAAAATCCTAGAGGAGAACACAGGCAACACCCTTTTTGAACTTGACCACAGCAACTTCTTGCAAGATAAATCCATGAAGACAAGAGAAACAAAAGCAAAAATGAACTATTGGGACTTCATCAAGATAAGAAGCTTTTGCACAGCAAAGGATACAGTCCACAAAACTAAAAGACAACCTACAGAATGGGAGAACATATTTGCAAATAACATATCAGATAAAGGGCTAGTATCCCAATATCTATAAAGAACTTACTAAACTCAACAGCAAAGAAACAATCCAATCATGAAATGGGCAAAAGACATGAAGAGAAATGTCACCAAAGAAGACATAGACATGGCCAACAAGCACATGAGAAAGTGCTCCGCATCACTTGCCATCAGGGAATACAAATCAAAACCACAATGAGATACCACCTCACACCAGTGAGAATGGGGATAATTAACAAGGCAGGAAACCACAAATGTTGGACAGGATGTGGAGAAAAGGACTGTTGGTGGGAATGTGAACTGGTGCAGCCACTCTGGAAAACTGTGTGGAGGTTCCTCAAAGAGGTAAAAATAGATCTGCCCTATGACCCAGCAATGGCACTGCTGGGGATTTACCCCAAAGATACAGATGCAGTGAAGGACCGAGACACCCTCACCCCGATGTTTCTAGCAGCGATGTCCACAATAGCCAAACTGTGGAAGGAGCCTCGGTGTCCATCGAAAGATGAATGGATAAAGAAGATGTGGTCTATGTATACAATGGAATATTCCTCAGCCATTAGAAACGACAAATACCCACCATTTGTTTCGACGTGGATGGAACTGGAGGGTATTACGCTGAGTGAAGTAAGTCAATAGGAGAAGGACAATCATATGGTTTCAGTCATTCGGGGAATATAAGAAATAGTGAAAGGGATCATAGGGGAAAGGAGGGGAAATGAGTGGGAAATATCAGAGAGGGAGACAGAACAGGAGAGACTCCTAACTCTGGGAAATGACCAAGGGGTAGTGAAAGGGGAGGTGGGCGGGGTATGGGGTGTCTCGGTGACAGGCACTGAGGGAGGCACTTGATGGGATGAGTACTGGGTGTTCTACTATATGTTGGCAAATCAAACTCCAATAAAAAATATACAGGACGTCTGGGTGGCTCAGTGGTTAAGCGCCTGCCTTCAGCCCAGGGCATGATCCTGGGGTCCTGGGATGGAGTCCCACATCGGGCTCCCTCTGGGGAGCCTGCTTCTCCCTCTCCCTGTGTCTCTGCATTTCTCTCTGTGTCTCTCGTGAATAAATAAATAAAATAGTTTTTAAAAGAATAAAAATAAAGTGTTTTGCTCCAGGGACACCTGGGTGGCTCAGCGGTTGAGCATCTGCCTTTGGCTCTGGTCATGATCCTGGGGTTCCGGGGTCAAGTCCCCCATAGGGCTCCCAGAAGTGAGCCTACTTCCCTGCCTGTGTCCCTGCTATTTTCTCTGTGTCTCTCATGAATAAATAAATCTTTCCCAAAAAAAAAAGTGTTTTGCTCCAGTAAATGTCAGCAATTGTTGCTGGCACTCAGCCGCAGCCCTAGGATCAGAGCATGTGCCTGGTGATCTCAGAGCTCCGTCTTCCCTGCCGGTGGCCCTGCCTGGACGCCACTCCCTCGGACCCTCTCTGCAGCCTGCAGTGGCCTGCCAGAGAGCTCACAAGACTTAGCCACACCCCTAGCCCACCCCACTAATAAACAGCTGCCTAGCCTGCCCCACTGTCCTCTAGCACTTTCCAGTCCTCTGGAGTCAGTGGCTGCTGCACCATGCAGTCTCTAGGCTTTGCACTTGCCTTCCTCACCGTGCCAATGGTGCTGTGCGGGGACTCAGAGGGTGAGCATCTGGACCCTGCCCATCCCTTCTGGAATCTACCCTCCCTTGTAACTCCCCCCTTCTCCCTGTTAAGCCCTGCCTTTGGTGGGGGGCGGGGGGCTCTTTGGAGGAGGAGGTATTGGGCCTGAGACAGAAGAGCAGAGTCTGTGCTAGCCTCCTCTGGCCTAAGCCCTACACCCCCATTCTTGGACCCTGGCTGGGAAAGAGCTCAGAGTGGACCCAGATGGCTGTCCCTCATCTTGGTCCCCTGTCCACTGTCTGCAGGTACCTGGTGCTACGACTCCCAGGACCCGAAGTGTGGTGAGGACAGTGTCGTGTGAGGCTGTGTGGGATCCCTCTTTGTCCTGTGACCACTAGACAGTCTGGTGCTAGTGTGACCTAAAAGCAGTGTGCATGCTAAGCTTCTGTGTTCTCTGCAGGTTCTATCTGGAGTCCTGGGCCACAGTGGCTCGCTGGGCACCAGACGGAATGTGTGTGTGTCCCCCTGCATGTGTGTCCAGGGCTGTTGCTTGTTGCTGGTGTGATCTGCAGTCCTGCCATGTGTGCCAAGCTGTTCATATCAGTGGGAACTCAGGCCACTGTCAGTGTGGTCAGTCCATGTGGGAACAGGTGTCCCCAGTGGGGGCGTGTGACCACTGTGCTGGGAGACCCTTCCACCTCCATCCCCTGTGGGGCAGTCTACCTACAGGTGACTGTGTGTCAGAGTGGCCCAGACCAGGCAGTGCCTGCCTGTGTGAGAGTGCTGCAGACATGGTAATCAGGCCAGGTCAGGGTGTGTGCAGCAGGTGTGTGGGGAAGCCGGGGGCCAGCTTCATGAGGCTAGGCAGTTTCTGTTAACGTGTGGGAGGGAGCACTGCCTTCCCCCAAGTTGCCTCCCTGACCCCCCTCCACAGATCCCTGGCCTTGTTTCCTCAGGCCCCACCCACTGGAAGGAGATGGCCCCTGCCTGTGGGGGCCCAGCCCAATCCCCCATCAACATTGACCTTCACCTGGTCCAGCAGGACCCTGCCCTGGGACCCTTTATCTTCCAAGGCTACCACTCAGCACCTCCAGGCCCATGGACACTGGAGAATGATGGCCATACAGGTTAGTACCCTGGGGCCAGGACCCGCCCCCCACCCCAAACAGGAGCAGGAACCCACCTGGCAGTGAGAACTACCCGTTCCCCTCCCCCACCACACACACCCAGTGATCAAAATTTCCAGTCAGCACAGAAACATCCACACACATTGGTAAAGACACCTCCAACAAGGGTCATGCCCCCCACACACAGGTGTCAGGACCCCCCCGCCCCAGAATAACAATCAGCCATTGCCCCCAAGGACCTGGAGTCAGTACGTTCCCACAAGTCAGAATGCCTTAGAAGTCATCACAGCCCCCCAATATCACACATAGCTGTGGATGTGGTGGGTCAAAACTCCAGGCATAGGAAGGCCACCCTCTCCCCACCTCTTGCAGGGTGGGGTATTTCCTCTGTAGGCTGTGGACCAGCAGAGGGGCCTGGACACCCTGGGGAGTGTCCAGGGAGCAGACTAGCCTGGAGGGGACCAGTGCTGGTACCCTGTTCCCTAATAGCACAAGGGTGGGTAGGTGGGGGGAAGAGAGAGTCATGTGCTCCCCTCCCCTCAGTACTGCTCCGCATGGACACTGACCCGCAGAGCCGCCTGGAGATTTGGGGCGCTGGGCTGCCGCTGCCTGCCTACCGTGCCCTGCAGCTGCACTTCCACTGGGGGGGCCCTGGGCGAGCAGGCTCAGAGCACAGTGTGGATGGGCAGCGCTACCCCATGGAGGTGGGCGTGGGCATGGGGGAGGTGGTGGGAGTGCCCTGTGCAAGGGGCAACTGGTACCTCTCCTGATCTGTGACCCTCCAGATGCACGTGGTCCACATGAACACGAGGTATCAGAGCGTAGAGGAGGCGCGAAGTCACCCTGATGGGCTGGCAGTGCTGGCGGTGCTGTTGGCAGTGAGCAAGGGGCCATGTGACTCCCGGCAGTGGGGGAGGACCAGAGGAGCTCCGTGACTCCTCCTGCTTCCCAGAAAGGGGTTCTGCAAAGGGAGCAGAGAGGGCCTCTAGGCCTTCGGTGGGCTGTTGGGAGGCTGTATAGGGTTTGTAGGATTTAAAGGGTTCCTTTAGAGAATGGGGCCTCTAGAGGTCCTGGGTCTGCAGGGTCAGTGGGGAGTGATCTCCCAGCGGCCCCTCCTGGGGGCCTACCCTCTTCCCTTACAGTCTCCCCTAGACCCCCTCAGAGTTCCTCCTTTGGAGACTCGTCCGCTCAGTGCCCGCCTCACTTGGAGTCCCCTCCCTAGGAGCGGGACACGGACAACGCCAACTTCTCCGCGCTTGTGTCGGGCCTGAAGAACGTGTCTGAGAGCGGTGAGGAGCCACGGGGTGGCACCCGGGGCTGGGGTTGCTGGGGGCGGGCGGGTGGTGGTGGCACAGGGAGGCCAGGCGCAGTCCCGCCTCCCCTCCCCTCCCCCGCCCAGGGGTCTCCGCGAATCTGGCACCCACCTTCCCGCTGGCCTCGCTGCTGCCCGGCGCCTCTGGCCTCTCCCGCTACTACCGCTACTCGGGGTCGCTGACCACGCCCGGCTGCCAGCCCGCGGTGCTCTGGACGCTCTTCGCCGACGCGGTCCCCATCGGGCGCGCGCAGGTGGGGCCGCCACCCCTCCCCCTCCTCCCTCCCTCCCGCAGCCCCGGCTCTCCCGACTTCACCGTCTCTGCCCTGAGCCCTCAGGTGGCCCAGTTCCAGACTGTGCCCCGGGCCGGTCTCCCCGGCTCGCGCCCTGCACCGCTCACCGACAACTTCCGCCCGCAGCAGCCTCTCGGGGGGCGCAGGGTCTCGGCCTCTCTGGGCGCCTCCATCCGCGCCACAGCCTCGGCCCCCGCCCCGCACCTGGCCCCTGTGCGCGGGGCTCTGCTGGGCCTAGGGCTCCGCCTGTGGCTCTGGAGGAGCCCCTAGGACCCAGGCTCGCCCCTTCCTGCAATAAACGATGCACAGAGTGACCGGGGCCTCCTGTATCTTGTGGGGGTGGGAGCCTCTCCCAGGGAGGCCGGATTCCTGCCCCGACCCCACTGAGGCCTCAGTGTGCCGGCCAACACGCAGACCCCTGAGATCCTCCCCTACCCTGTCACAGCCAGTCCCAGACCCCCAGTCGGAACCCCAGACCTCTGATCCCACTGGGAGAGACAAGGTGCCCCCGTTTCCAAGGAGAAAAACTGGCAGGTCCTAGAAACACCACCTGCTAAAGTCTAAGACTACACATTTTATTTTAAAAAACAAGCGGGCTGAGGGACCCCAGGCCACTATAGGGGTTAAGTGCTGACTTCAGTTGACATTTCCTTGAGGCCAGGAGGTGAGAAGCTACTGGTTCCAGGTTCTGCTGCAGGCTGTGCTAGGTGAGTGGGTCTTGGTGATAAGGACAACTAGTGAAACTGTGCCCAGGTGACACTGGGGGGTTAGGCTGTGCAGCCCGAGTGTCGGGTGACACTTTCTGGAGAGCCTAAGGGAGGCTAAGTGAACGGTTGAGTGTCCTTGGTGTCACTGTCCACAGCAAAGCAAAGACTAGAGGCCACTGTGTCCAGGCAACGTTGTCCAGGAGGAGGCTGCATCTATCAGTAGAGTCAAGCTGGCCGGGGTCAAGCTGCTGTCCAGTTGATGCCCTGTGGACTGCGGTTGTATATGGGGGTGTTACTGCCCTGAGTGAGGCAGTGTCCAGGTGACAGTGGCCCAAGCATCCCGCGGATCCCTAACAGCTGCTGAGGAATGTGTGGCTCACACGGTATTTCAGGGCTTGGAGGCCCTGCCTCCCACCCAAGACCCTTTAGGAAAACAAACCAAACCTAAACACCAGCACCCTTCCCCGAGGCAGACCCTTGAGCTCTCCCCGACGCTCTCCTCGGGGCTGGCTACACCCCTGACCTTGACCCTTCTGCAGCTCTAAAGCCAAAAGGGGCTCCACCCCACCTCCTGCCCTACTCGGTGGCCGGCGATCCCCGGCTGCACGGAGCCATCCGCACCCCAGACGCGGTCCCCGGCGGTCCCCAGGCTCTGCCGTCCCAACGCCCACACCCCAGGGCCCGAGGCCGCTTCTCCAAGGACGAGGGGGTGGATCTGTCCATACAGATGCAGTGCGGGAGGGCGCCTGCTGCCCCCCGGGGGAGGGCGCCCTCAATCCCCGCCGCCCTGCGGGGCCCCGGGCGGCACGGGCGTCTTCTTGAAACTCTTCCTGGCGGGGGCCCGGTTGGCGCCGCCGTCCGCAGGGCCGTCCGGGGCGTCGTCGGCGGGCCTCGCGACCGCGGCCAGGGCGTTCACGGTGCCGAGCGCCCGCAGCAGGGCGGGCCCGCGGGGGGCGGCGCGAGGGGCGACGCGGGGCTCCCGGCGGGGGGGCGGCGGGGGCGGCGGGGGTGGCAGCAGCTCGCGCAGGGCGTCCAGCTCCGCACGGAGCTCCGCGCGCAGCGCCTCGAGTCCCGCGCCCAGCTCGGCGCGCACGGCAGCCAGGCCCTCCTGCAGCCGCCGCTCGCTCACCTCCAGGACGCCCGCCGGGTAGGTGGCCCCGCCGCGCGGCTCCCCGCACACGGAGCACACGGAGCCGGCGCTGCGCGCGTCCGCCCGCGCCTCGGCCCCCGGCGCCCCGGCCTCCCCCGCCGCGGCCCCCGCGCGCTCCACCAGCCGCAGCAGCCGAGGCGCGTCGGCCCGGAGCTGGCCCCGCAGGCGAGCCAGGCGGCCCGGGGCGCGGCCTTCCCCGGGGCCCGGCCCGTTGGGCTGCGGCCCGTGGTCCCGCCGGCGGCCGGCGGCCCTTCGCAGCGCCTCGCTCGCGCCGTACGCACCGCGCGCCTGGAGCCACGGGCGCCCGGGATCCGCCGCCATCCGCGCCGCCGCCGCCGCCGCCGCCGGAGCCGGGAGCCCCAGCCCGCAGCCTAGCGACCGCTGGGGCCCCGGCGACGCTCCGTGGAGAGGGCCCCCGGGACGGCTGTGGGAACGACCGAGGCCTCGGGGGTCTATCTGGCCTGGGGCCCGGGGAACTCCGGTAGGGAGGGCGGGGGAGCGCCGGGGGGACCCAGCGGGGCAGGGCTCGGGCCCCGGCGTGTGTGCGCTGGGCCTGCCCCCGGGGACCGCTGTCGCTGCTGGGCCCCCGCGTGGGCCGCGGAGCTGGGACCGGCTTCAGGGCGGGGAGTGACGGGACACGGAAGGAAGGCTGCGGAAGCGCCGGCGCCCAGACCGAGTCAGGAGCCGGGCTCGCACCCTCCGCCCCAACGACCCGTCCCTGTCCCGGCCGGGAAATAGGTGTGCCAGTGGACCCGCGCGTCCCCGCCCTCCTCACGGTGGGCCGCTTCCATCACTTGCATACCGTAGTCCAGGCCACTGTCACTTGCCCCCACCTGCAGGAATCCGTCCTCCTGGGGGGCTGAGTGGTGAGCCACCATTGGGTGTCACAGCCCACCCCACTGTGCCTGGCGGTGTCTTCTTCCTTTTTTTTCCTTCCTTTTATAATTTATTAATTACTCTTATAAAAAAACAAAGAACATGAAATGTGCCAATTTAACCATTTTCAAGTGTATAGTTCAGTAGTGTTGAGTATACGCAACATCTCCAGAACTTTTTCATCTTGCAAATCTGAAACTCTAGCTAGACCTGTTGAACGACTTCCTTCTCCTTCCTTCCACCAGCCTCTCATAACCACCATTCTACTTTCTATTGTTTTGTTTTTTAAGATTTATTTATTCATGAGAGACAGACAGAGAGGCAGAGACACAGGCAGAGGAAGAAGCAGGCTTCTTGCAGGGAACCCAATGCAGGACTCGATCCCAGGACCCCAAGATCATGCCAAAGGCAGATGCTCCATCACTGAGCCACCCAGCTCAGTAGTCCCTCTACTTTCTATTGTTATAAATGTTATTATTATTTCTTTTACTGTGTGTAGGCTCTGTAATGATGTACCCCCTTTTTAAATTTAAATTCAGTTGGCCAATATGTAGTACATCATTAGTTTCAGATGGAGTGTTCAACAACCTCCACCCTGTGGGCCTTTGCTCAGGCCTTTTCCCCTGCTGGTAAAGACCCCCACACCCTGGGGGGGGGGCGCGCAACTCCCACTCATCCCACTTCTGCAGGACAGCCTTCTTGGGCCACCCCAGCCCCCAGCAGATGACTCAGGCTCCTTGCCCACAGCATGTTTAAGTGGCTCTCTGTTCTCTGTCCACCTGGGTCCACAGTAGAGGCCCTGAGCACAGAGTGACTGGGTCACTCAGGTCTCAGAGGTACTAAACATGCTGGATGTTCGATGCAGGGAGTAGACGAGTGAATGAGTCTAGAGCTGAGGGTTCTGAGTGGGGCAGGACCTCTAACCACCCACTCTGATCAGCCCCTGCACCTCCTCAGCCTGGCATTCTAGATGCTCATGGTCAGGGATCCTGGGTGGCTCAGTCAGTTAAGCGTCTGTCCTCTGCTCAGGTCATGATCTCAGGGGCCCTGGGATCGAGCCCTGAATTGGACTCTGCTCTGCAGGGAGGCTGCTTCTCCCTCTGCCTCTCCCTCTGCCTGCCGCTCTGCCTAGTGCTCTCGCTCTCTCCCTGTGTCAAATAAATAAAATCTTTTTTTGAAACAAAACAAAACACAACAGACCTTCATGGTCATCCCTGCTGGCTTTCCTGTTCCCCCCACATTTTCCACTTGTGCCAGTGCTCCTCACTGCTGTACTCCTTTTTCACCCAGGTGCCTTCACCCATTCGACCTGCCTATGCCCATCTCAGGGTCATGGGCAGTGCACTGTGGGCCCCTCTGGAGGGCAGTATCCCTCTGCCGGGCCTGTTGTTCTCACTGAGCCCTAAGGACTAGTTAGGACTCTGGGTTCCTCCCCAGCCAATTGTGGGGAGGAAGGGCTTGGAGGGAATCCAGGCTGGGCTGGGAGGGAGATGGCATGGCAGCCACTGGGACCCGTATCCCCAGAGCCCACGGGGACCTAGCCACTGTGCAGAGGTGGACGGCTGCCAACCCTGTTTTTGGCAGCCCTGGCCCCAGGCCACCATGAAGACTTCTGAATCCCCTCCATTCATTCATTCATTTGTTCATTGCAGCCTGTCTATCTGGAAGCTGAGAATTTGGCACTCTGTTAAACCCCGCAGACACCCCCATTCCTGCTGAGTCACCTGACTGCCCCCTGGGACTTCCAGCATCTGGTTCCCCCGGTCTCTAGAGCCTCGTTAACCATACTCCTGCCCCCTCCTCTCAGTAATTAAAATACTGTGGACAAAATGTCCTGGATTCCTTCCCCAGGCCTGCTCAAGTCAAGCTTTGTGACCCAGGGGCTCTGAAAGAAGCCCCTGAGGTCCCTGGGAGGAGACAGCAGGGAAGCAGGGAAAGGCTGGGGTGGGGTGAGGGGCAGTGGCACCGGACTCCAGATGTGTGGTTGTGCAGAGAGCTGGAATGCAGGGACTGGGCTGCCGGCGCAGACAGGGACTGCGAGGTTTCCAGGCTGTTGAGGCTGATGGAGGGCCGTGGTACGGAAAAAGCCTTTGTGGTGAGGAATTCACCATCGTGCAGGTGCTGGGCGTGAGGTCATGGCTGGTGGTAGAGAGTCCCAGAGTCATGGCTCTGGGGCAGACAGATGCACAGGACCGAGGGCAGAGTGGGAGGGGAGGCCCCGGGGAGCCCGACCAGCCCTGAGGAGGGCGCAGAGGCTATGGCGAGGGGTGAACAGACAGCTGTGGTCACCACAACCCTGAGCCCCTGAGGTCAAGTGCAGCGACAGTCCAGAAGTAGGTTGCATTGACCCTGACTGGAGCTTCCCAGGCAGGGAGGGTGGGGGGCCGCAGAACCTGAGGACTGCTGGTGAGGGGACAGGCTGGGGAGCCCTTGCCTAGGCTGGCTGGTCACAGCAGGGGAAGCTCCAGAGGAATGGGGCAAGAAGCAGGAACAGAGCTACAGCGCCAGGGGGCCCAGCGCACAGGTCTGCTTTCCAGAATATCCTCAAGCCCAGCCTGGTTGGCTCTCTGCACAGAGGAGCTGACTGGGGCAGGGCAGGGTCCAACTGCTTCCCCACATGGGCCGCCTCTCTGTGCCCAGGGCGCCAGGGGCCAGGCCTGCTGGAGGTGGGCCGGGGTGACCCCATTGGGCTCTGCACAGGCAGGCCTGGGCGATGATTGTGCCTGGCCACTGATTAACTCAGGAGCAGTGCCGGCTCGGCAGGGCCTGGGAAGAGTGAGACCCTGGGGCTCTGCCCCTGCCTCTGCCTGGAGAAGGGGGCAGCCTCTGCGTCACTTAACTACCCCCCACCTTGCACTCTGTTGCCATTAAACCCTGGCAGCCACCCAGAGAGGAGGCTCTATTTTCCAAAGCAGTGGGAGCTAGGAGAGTTCAGTGGGCAGGGCCAGGCAGGCTTTGTATGTTGGAGGGGCCCCTGGTGGCCTTGCAGGGGGCAGAGGAGCCTCACAGTCATCATGGGAGGGTCTGGAAATGCAGATGCCCAGGTCACCCCCTCCACCAACAGGCTGGTCTTTGTCTTCTTCCACAGCTGTGTGTGCACCAAGTTCTGGCCTGGCCTGGTTCTCAGTGAAGGGGGGGCAAATGGAGATGCAGGTGGGGGGTCCCTGAGGCTGGCTGGGCAGTCCCTCCTGTGCTGGCTCTGAGGGTCTGTGGGGAGCAGGACCCCAGGGGGAGCGGGAAGTAGGGTCTGCCATGAGCCATCAGCCACCCTCAGGGGGCGGTTAGCCTCAGAGCTGGGCTTGGAGTGGGCACTGCAGGCAGAGTCTGGGGTGGGGGCCGCCCCTTCCCTTTCTGGTCACAGACCCTGGCCTTCAGCACAGACTCTAGAGCATGGGAGCCCACCCATTCTCTACTCCGGCCATGCCACTGGCTCCGGGAGCCAGACTGATGAGACCCTTGGCCATGAGCAAGCAAGGCCAGCTGGACTGGGGCCTGGGCCCTGGCCCCAGGGCTCTTAGGAAGGGAAGGCTGCAGTACCTTTTGGGACTCCAACGTCCAGGCCAGGGAGTGGAGCTTTGGTAGACCAAGTGAGCAGGTCTGGCTGGGGCCACTGCTCAGGGCACCATTCTGGGCTCGTTCATTCTACCTCACGTATTCTGGTGGCCCCTGTGCCTGCTTCAGTGTCCCCCTGTCAGAGCCCAGGGAGTCTTTACTGGCCAAAAAATGGTGAGGATGGCAGTGGTGACAGATGCTGGGAGGTGTGCAGGGGCCATAGGAAGCCTGTGACCTAAAGGGCAGATTTGAGCTGCAGGTGGCTTCTCATTTAAAGAAGGGGCCACTGTCTGGGGCTCCCTGTGGGGACGGGGTTGGAGACACTTTGCCCCTGAACACCTTCTAGGTACCAGGCCTGGAACTGTTCCCTGGCCTCCCAGTGGCTTTGGCTACCCAGGCATGCCCCAAGAACTGTCCTGGGGCAAGTGGCTCTGCAGGGGACAACTCATTACCCAGTAATGGCCTTGCCTGACCTCAGTAATGAGCTCATTACCTGATAATGACTTTGTTTGCCTCATCCTGGCGTCAGCAACCCTAGAATGTCTGGCCTGGGGTGGCTCTGACCAGTCCAGACGGTGGCCTTCAGCCTCCCCACCTGGCCCAGATGGGGCATCAGGCCTACCAACATATCGGTATGACTGGCTTTGCTCTCCTCTTCATGCTCTCCTGGTGACTCCAGACCCTGCAGACACCTCTCACTCCCATGCCATGCCCCCGGACCTCCATACCCCTACTGGGCCTCGGGTTTCACCCGTCTTCTCAGTGGGAGCCTGATCCACCTAAATTCTGATTAAGACCCACCTCTGCCCCACATCCTCCACGAGCTCCCACCTCACTCCTGCAAGAGCCTGGGCTCCTGTGTGCACCCTGGGTTTGGACCTGCCACCTCAGTGTCCTGCTTCCTCTTGCTCGCCATGCCAGCATCCCACCCCTGAGCCTGTGCACATCCTGCTCCCTCAGCCTCAGATCAGTTTACATGGCCTCCTAGAAAGGCCTGCCCTGACCCAGGGGCCCTTCCCCATGCTGCACCTGCATCTGCCCGCCATGGCACTCACCATGCTTTGCACTTTCTCCTGGAATGTGGGGTCTCTGGTCTCTGTCCTACTTTGGGCTTGACTTGCAATAGGGCAGGGACACCCTGCATCCTCAAGGTCCAGAAAAGTGCCTGGCACACAAGAGGCAAGGCAGCAACCCACTCTCAGTGAATATAGGTGCCTGCGTTGGGCTTGGCATTAAGCACTCAGTGTTGGCTTTGTTATTTCCAGGCCTGCAGTGTCGCCTTTCAGTGTCCCCTGCCTGGGATGGCCTGAGGAGGAGCAGGGCCTTCTCTCAACCCAATCCTAGCGTTTCCCCCCCCCCCACGCCGGCTGGAGTCAGCCCTGGCCAGACTCCCTGCCTTCACCCTTGATGTGCCCCCAGTGGGAAAGGGTGGCAGGGAAGGGAATGGAGAGTATACAAGTCGGGGGGTTGGTGTGAGGGAGCAGGCCCGGGCTGCATGGGGGAAGAAATTGGGGGTGATATTCATGCAGGGAGCAGGTATCAGGACTGGGAGGATGGACTGGGGTAGTACAGGAGGGTGCATGTCATAGGAGGGGAGCCCTCACCACTCCCCACCCACCTCACTGAGCCCCCGCCAAGTCCTTTCGTGAGTCTGGCATGAGAGAAGGAGTGAAGGGAGTGAGTGAGACCACTTCCCAGGAATTGAACCAGGTCATGTTAGATATTTGTGTGTATATACCCTTGTAACTAACACCCACATCAAGAGCTTTCCCCTACACCTTCCTGTCTCATAATTAAGTTTGAAAGAGATCAGTTTTCTCTTTATTATATGTTTAATGTCACGTATGATAACACACAAAATACTACATAGTGTGTGTGTATGCTAAAAGCATCACAACAGGACAATTACCTGTGAATCAATTACCTAACCCAGGAATGCTCCAGTACCAGTGACTCATCTCCTTCTCTCCAAAGGCACCTGCTGTCCTGAAATATGTGTTTCCCTGACTTTATATATATACATCTTTTCATGTATGTAGGTATCTCTACACAGTGTCATTTGGTTTTGCTGGTCTTTGAGTGTCATAAAAAAGGCATTGCATTGTGTTCGCTTTCCGGGGTCTTGCCTTCTACACCTAATATTACTTCTGAGATGCATCAGGTTGCTGCGCTGTAGCTGTCATTCATTCTTTTTCACCTCTGTGTAATACTCCAGTTGACACACCTGGGTGGCTCAGTCAGTTAAGTGTCTGTCTTCAGCTCAGATAGTGATCCCAGGATCGAGCTCTGCTTCAGGCTCCCTCTCCCTCCACTTGTGCTCTCTCTCTCTCTCTCGCTCTCTCAAATAAATAAATAAAATCTTTAAACATAAAAAATTTAAAAAATATTCCAGCTTATTTGTGCATTCTCCTGTCAATGGATATTTGAATCATTCCTCTCTTTTGCTATTACTGTTTCTATGCACATTTTTGTACCTGTGCCCTGGGAACCATAGGCAAGAATTTCTCAAAGGAATATATTGGGGAGTGAACCTGGTGTAGGAAACATGTAAATATTTGAGAAAATGCCAAATTGTGGATGAATACCCTCTCTCACCAGCAGTATGTGAGGATCTCTGTTGATTCACAAGTATCGAACCCATGGCCCTGACAGGATTCTTGTATTTTCCTGATCAAGTGGGGTTAATTGATAATTCACTGTGCTTCATGTTTCCCTCACTACTGGTGAAGTTGTGCATCTTTTCACAGGCTTATGCACCATTCATGGTCTCGACTCTGTGAAATGCTTGTTCATGACTTTTGCCCATTTTCCTATTGAGTTGTTTGGTTTTCTTTTTTCTTATTGAATTATAGGTGTCTCATTTAGTTCATTTATTTTATCAAGATGTTATTTGCATTTACTATAGTGCACATATTTTAGATGTACCAGTGTGATTTTATATTCACTCATTGTCCTAGTCTGTTCAGGCTGCCATAACAAAATGCCATACACTGGGTGGCTTATAAACAACAGAAAATTATTTCTCACAGATCTAAGGCTGGAAAATTTATGATCAGGGTGCCCAATGAGGACCCCCTTCTTAGTTCATAGCTTGTGCTTTCTGGCCATGTTCTCACTTGGTGGAGCAGGCTAGAGATCTCTCTGGAACCTCTTTTATAAGGCACTAGTTCCATTCATGAGGGTTCCTCCTTCATAACATAAGCATCTCCCACAAACCTCACCTCCTAATACCGTCACATTGGGCACTAGGATTTCAACATATGAATTTGAGGAAACACAAACATTTAGACCCTAGAACTAACACCCAGATTAACATGTACACCACTTACAGCACCCAGAAGGCTCCCTCTCAGTCAGTACCCACAAAAAACAACTGCTATTTAAGTCAATGAACTTTAAGCATTTGGAATGATCTTTTATTTCTTTTTTTTAAGATTTTATTTATTTATTCATGAGAGACACACAGAGAGAGAGAGGCAGAGACACAGGCAAGGCAACGGGAGAAGTAGGCTCCATGCAGGGAGCCTGACACGGGACTCGATCCCAGGTCTCCAGGATCACGCCCTGGGCTGAAGGCAGATGCTAAACCACTGAGCCACCCAGGTGTCCCTGATCTTTTATTTCTTAAGACTTATTTATCCACTTGAGAGATAACATGCAGTGGGAAGGGGCAGAGGGAGAGGGAGAGGAAGAGAAAGTTCCAAGCAGACTCTGTGCTGAATGCAGAGCATGATGGGCTTGATCTCACAATCCTAAGGTGATGACCTGAGCTGAAACCAAGAGTTGGTCGCTCAACTGACTGAGCTAGCCAGGCACCCCACTGAATGCTCTTTTGTCTATTATGTGTATATGTGCAAATATCTTCTTTCAATATTTTATAGCAAATGATTTTGGAACTTCCTTTATGGTGGTGTTTGATAACAGAAGTTTTAAGCTTTAATGCAATTGTGTTTATCAACCATTTCTTTTATTGTTAGTGCATTTTGTGTCTTGCTTAATAAATTTTTTCCTATCCAATAGCAAAAAGGGGGGCACCTGGGTGGTTCATTTGGTTGTGCGTCTGCCTTTGGCTCAGGTCATGATCCCAGGTCGAGCCCCACATTGGGCTTCCCACTCATTAAGGAGACTACTTCTCCCTTCCTGCACCTAACCCCACTCATGCTTGCTCTCTCTCATACTCTGTCCCTCACTTTCTCTCTCAAATAAATAAAACCTTTAAAAATATAGCAGAAAGAAAAAAATATATATAGCAAAAAGATAGCATTCTATATTTTCATTTAAAAACTGAAAGTGTTGCTTTTAACATGTAGACTCATATCTGTATAGAATTGATTTTTGTGCTTGGTGTGAGGTTGGGATCCAGTCCTATATTTTCTATTTAGCTAATGCATTATCCCAGTAGTGTTTATTTTATGTGTTACTTCTGTTATATGTACTTGTGTCTATTTGCGAGCTCTCTGGTTTGTTCTATTGGTCATTTTGTCTATCCCTGCATCACTATCAGTGTCTTTTTTTAAGATTTTATTTATTTATTCATGAGAGACAGAGAGAGAGAGAGAGAGAGAAGAGAGAGAGAGAGAGAGAGAGAGGCAGAGACACAGGCAGAGGGAGAAGCAGGCTCCATGCAGGGAGCCTGATGTGGGACTCGATCCCAGGACTCCAGGATCACACCCTGGGCCGAAGGCAAGCGTTTAACTGCTGAGCCACCCAGGGATCCCCACTATCAGTGTCTTAATTACAATTCTATAAAATATTTTGCTATCTGGTAGGACAAATCTTTCCAACCTATTTTTCTTCATGCATATCTTCATTATTCTTGTCCCTTTGCTTTTTAATATACATTTTTGAGTCAGCTTAACAAGTTACACACATGTACATACACACACACACACACACTTGACATTTTTATTGGAATTTTTTTAGTTTTTTCTTGGAATTATATTAAATCTGTAGACGAATTTGGGAAGAATTGACTACTTTGGAATACTGAATCCTCCAATTACAAACATGGCATGTTATCTCTCTTATTTAGGTCTTTTAAAATATCTTTGTTTTTTTTAAAGTAAGCTCAATGCCCAGCACGGAACCCAGCATGGACTGAACTCAGGACCTGAACTCAGGACTCTGAGATCAAGACCTGAGCTGAGATCAAGAGTAAGCCACCTAACCAACTGAGCCACCCAGGTGCCCCTAAATATCTTTAAATCAAATTTTATAATTTTTCCATACAGGTTTTGCATAATCTTGTTTCAATGTTTTAGTTACCTTGTTTCTGTTGTTATTATAAATGGTGTATTTTTAAATAAAATTTTTACCTGCTTTATAATTAGTATATAAAAACTTTGCATATTTTTATATCATGATCTTTTTTTTTTAAGATGTTATTTATTTATTCATGAGAGACACAGAGAGAGAGAGGTCAAGACACAGGCAGAGGGAGAAGCAGGCCCCATGCAGGGAGCCCAATGTAGGACTTGATCCCGGTCCAGGATCACACCCTGGGCTGAAGGCAGCGCTAAACTGCTGAGCCACCCGGACTGCCCCAGAGTGCTCCCTTAACACAGGAGAGAGAAGACACATGATATTGAGTTCGGGATTGAGCAGTAGGCAGAAGTGTGATGGACCTTGTAGATGCTACAGCTCAGGACTTGAAGCAAAGCAAAGAATGTGTAATTGGAAGCTGGAGGAAAAGGCATCTTTATTATGTAGTAGTAGAACATGTAGCAAAACTGTCACCTTGCAAAGTGGAAAACAGTAGGTATACCGGATAAATTTCATGGATCTGGCTAAGGCCATTTTCAGGAAGTGGTGGAGGTGCTGCCTGATTTCTCCTAGCTGTGCACAATAAGAGGAGACAGACAAAGTGATAAAGGAGCTACTTGGTTTTCAAGTAGTGCTAGGAGGAGATGTAAAGGGCCCTAGCCAGTTTTTCCAGCCAACAAAGTGGTCTCAAGGTAAGAAAGAACCTCAGATCATATCCAGGGTACTGTCAGGAAAATCTCATGGTAAAGATGAAGCTGAGGTGGACTGGAAAACCTTTTGTTAAGAATTCAGTTGGGATGCTGCAAAAGGCCTTCCTAAGGATGTGCTTTGCATAACCTCCCTGTTAAACAATGGGACTTTTTAAAAAATATTATTTATTTATTTATTCATGAGAGACACAGAGAGAGAAGTGGAGACATCCCGCAGGGAGCCTGATGTGGGACTTGCTCCCAGGACCCCAGGATCATGACCTGAGCTGCCCAGGTGTCCCTAAACAATAGATCTTCTAAGATTTATGACGCATGTCCCACAGTAGCTTCACATGGCGTCCAGGTAGAAAAAGGGTTATGTTGAGATTTTTAGGTGTTTGTCTTTGGGCTAAAAAGTTAATTTATTAGTTTATACATAAGAGACCCACACAGTTTTTTTTTAAATGATATAATTCTGATATAAGTTTGGACCTATAAGAACATAGAAAGAACAAAATGAAAAGACACTTTTGAATCTGCAAACTTTTTTGGGCAAAAAGCAGGCTGAGAGAACTACTCAGCTGTGAACAGAGGCTATTTCCTATGGAAAAGGAAAGATTGGGCAGCCTGGGTGGCTCAGCGGTTTAGAGGCGCCTTCAGCCCAGCGCGTGATCCTGGACACCTGGGATCCAGTCCCACGTCGGGCTCCCTGCATGGAGCCTGCTTCTCCCTCTGCCTGTGTCTCTGCGCCCCCCTCTCTCTTTATATATATATATATAATAAAAATCTTAAAACAAAAAAAAAAAAAAAAGGAAAGGGAAGATTGCCTCAGAGGGCAAAACCAGAGCCACAGGCAGTCAGTCCCAGGGAGCAGTACTAATCAAGAAACGACAGCATGCATTCAGATGGATGTTAGACTCCCTATGGTCATATGGTTGCTATGGTGAGTGCAGTGTCTCATTCTTTATCAGAATGGTAGTGTTGACTGCATTTATCCCATGCCTGTCCCTCCATCAAATGCTGGGTGGTGGAGTGCAGCTAATGCATCTCTTTCATTTACAGGTCTTCAGATTAAGAGAAATCACACTCAAAGTCAAACCAAGAACTGCCCCCTGAGAAGCCTTACTGCACCGGTACCTGATTTAGATACTGGAGTTCGATTCTGGACCTTGAACCTGAGCCCCATGCCATAATCGGATAAGACTTGGGGGCAGCGCTTGCAAGGGGTGAGTGTATTTTTACTTCTTGGGCAGAGAGTAAACTGTGATGGTTTTGAAAAATGGCCAAAATCTTTCTGACAAACCTTGTACTGAGAGGTGGATTCTATGCCCTTCCCTTTGAATCTGAGATAGTTCATGACTGCGTTGACCAACAGAATATGGTGGGAGTGATGGTGTGTGGCTCCCAAGACTAAGTCATAAGAGTCTATGTGGCTTCTTGGGACACTCGCTCTCTTGCAGGACAGTCCCCAGAATCTGCTCACCATGCTGGGAGAAGTCCACACTACATGAAGAGATAGTGATTAGGTTCTCAAGTTGAGAGTCCAGGATGACCCCTGTCTTTGACTCTTCCTACCCGGGTGCGAGTCATGCCAGTTACAAAGCCTCCAGATAATTCCAACCCTCAACCACTGAGTCATCTCAAACTATGACAGTCTACCTGACTGAGACCTTAGTCATTGTGCAGCGGAGGTGAGCCCCCATGCCCCATCTTAATTCCTGGTTTCACTGAAATCCATGAACACAATAAAATGGTAGTTGTTTTATGTCACTGAATTTGGGGAGGTTTTCTAGCAGCAACAGAATGGCATCCTGCAGGGAGATGTACCCTGCACATATGGAGATAGGAGGAATTGTTGGTAGCTGTCTTACTGATAACCACCCACAGAGCTCTTTGGGTCTCAGGCTAGCTTAAGACAGACACTGTTTACTGTGGGGGCTCAAGAGAGGCTCAGAGAATTCAGAGGCAGGAAGCAGAGCCACGGTGCCAGGGGGCCTGGAGCTGAGAATTGGGGCTGTACTGACATGCCGTCTCTGGGACTGCACAAGTCCTCCTCTGTGTGCCCTCCTGTGGGACCTGTAACGGCTCCTGCCCCCCTGACCCCTAGGATCCCTCAGTCCAACTGGGCACACTGGCTGCTCCTGTCAGAATTTCCAGCCCACCCAGGCAGGATTGCTTGGGAACCAGGCCTAGCTGCCTTTGGCCCCCAAAGCCAAGGCCAGACAAGAAGGCGGTGGGGGGGTCCTCTGGCAGGGTGGGCACTCTGACATATGTCAGTCATCTGGGTAGGTGACCATATGTTTGATCAAGAAGAAATTTTTTTAAAAATAGGCATTGTTGGCTAGTAATCACTCTTTGGCCTCTCCTGTATGCCTGAGATAAATAACCTATTTTCTAATCCCTCTCTTCCTCCCTCCCTCTCTCCTTCTCTCTTTCTCTTTGTTTTCAAAGAAAATTCAGGTGCATGTGTGTACAGACCATGAGATAGAAGTCACAGGTAGAGGCACACACAGTCACACTTCTTCTCAGGGAGAAGGCAGGTGGAGGCTGGTCACTGAGCCCAGGGAGGAGCTTTCCCACCTGAGACTTACCCTAAAGTGTTCAGGCCCATAGGACTTGTGGAAAGGCAGGTGAACGCAGGAACTGTCTGGAGACCTGCCTGCCTCTTACCATCATGCCCTGGCCCTGATGCTTAAGGACTCTGGGGAGACAAGCAAAAACTATATTTCTGACATTCTCACTGAACTTCACTTGTCTTTGGCCAGCAAAGCAAGGGTCTTAGCCTCAGGTGTCCTGAGACTCCTCAGGTCACCCCCCCCACCCTCCAACCCCAGGATGGCACAGGCATTTGGCTCCCTCCTTCTAGCTGGACAGCCCCTAGGGCCTGGAACACTGGCCTTGAGTCCCTGCCAAGTGAGCAGTAGCCAGTACTGGTCCCCTGGTGCCCCCACCCATGTCCTTATTTCTGTGCAAAGTCCCCCTACCTTGCCATGGTGGTTCCCAGAAAAAAAAAACCCAGCAGGTGTCTCATCGTTTCATGTGTGTGGCAGACCCACAGGGTGGCCACATTTCTACCCAGGATAGGGAGGTTGGGGCAGTCATGCACCTCTGTAGACTCCTCCCCTCATAGCTCACCCCCACCGCCATCAGAAGAAGAGCCCAGGGGTCAAGGGCAGTAGCCAGGTCTTCCTGAAGGCTCCCTCCTTCCAGTTCTGGGTGGTCCGAAGCAAAGGAGTTGATTTTCTAGGCAAAGAGAATTGGACCCAGTCCTATCATTGAAGACGGGAACAAAGAGTAGGTCAACAGCCAGGGTCCTTCAGGACCTGGCCGGTGTCTCTGAAGTCTTGTCCTTCTCACTCAGTGGTGACATGGTCTGCATTCTCCACACTCACCTGCCAAGCACACACCTATACACACACACACATAGACACACACACACAAGCAGGGAGACACACATGAGAACTTAGAGATAAGAGCCATTCAGATAACACTCAGGTGCATGTGTGTACAGACCATGAGATAGAAGTCACAAGTAGAGGCACACAGAGTCACCATGGCCCAGACCTGCAGATACGATGTCACTTGTACACAGATGCATGCTTACACAGACACCACCACCCCCTAGAAAGACCAGACCATGAGATAGCAGCCAGCACACTGGCCTGCATTCTGTCCTATAAATAGGGACATATGTACAGCATCACATGGAAGCACATGCCCCCAGAGAGAGCACGGACGAGAACTGTGAGGCCAGAGTGTGCATACAGTCATTCCTGTAGACTTATAAGAGCCTCAGTCATACACAAACTCACACAGAGTACAAATATATGAAGATATACAGACTAGACCCACATCCAGCATCCACTGACACACAGCCACACATGCGCACACACATACAGGGGCACAGAAGGCATTCACTGGCATTAACTAGTACTCTCACCAATATGGAACTATAGATCAACAATTACACCAAAGGCACATACATTCATAGGTGCACACATATTGTCACACACAGAGCCACACTTCCATACTTACACACACATACACACACACACACCTGCCATCCAGGCAGTTGCTTCTGATTAACATTGGTCCTGCACCTGGCAAGATTATTAATCATCTATGGCTGTGTAAGAAATAACCCCAAATGTAGTGACTTAAAGTAATAACAGGTGTTATTTCACAGTTTCTGTGAATCAGAAATTTGAGAGTAACTTTGGTGGGTGGTTCTAGCCTGGGGTCTCAGTCAAGATTTCAGCCATGGCTGCCCTCACCTGAAGGCCTGACTGGGGCTGGAGGACTCACTTCCAAGATGGTTCACTAATGGTTGGCAAGTGCATGCTGGCTGTTGGCAGGGAGCCTCAGTTCTTCACTGTGTGGACTTCTCAGTAGGGCTTCTTGAGGGTTTTCATGACACTGGCTTTCCTAGAGTGGGTAATATAAGAGAGCAATGCTGAGCTGTAATGCCTTTTATGACCTAGCTTTAAAATTAACACGTCATCTCTACTACATCCTGTTGGTTACACAAGTCAGCTCTGATCAGTGTGGGAGGGGGCTGTACAAGGGCATGAGCACCTGGAGGTAAGCATCATAGGGGGCTATCTTATAAGCCACCTCTAGTCTCTAATGATTCACACCCCTCCCACGTGCAAAATATACTCATGCTTTCCTGAGTGTGCTGAAGTGTCATGCAATTACAGCATCTGCTAAAACTCTATGATCTTGTCATCTACATCAGGTCCACGTGTATTTTCTCATGTTCAGCTCCTTGAAGGCTATTGTTCTTACTCCAAAGAACTGGGAACTCATAGCTGCCCCCTCCACTACTCACCAATATACATGATGAGACAAGCATAAGATAACTGGACACTCTTGTTCAAAAGGGGAGCAGATATAGGAGGTACACAGAAATCACTGGTCCATAGTAATTATGAAATCCAGAAATGCATAGGTTAGAAATTCTTTGACTAGGCCTCAAGGTCTAGGAATAACTCCTCATGCCATTTTGCTCAGCTCTTTGAGTTACTGTTCCTTTTCCATGAAAGGTTCTCGTGTTTATAACAGACTCTGTTTTCAGTCTGATTTTCATCTTATAGAAAAGTTTGATCATCACAAGGCCTCTTTTCCTTTTGTACTGACTCTATCCCTGTTAGTCCAAGCTGGTAGTGTTTTTGGCAATTTAATTCTCTTAAATATAGTGCAGGTCTCTTGTGAATCTTACTGGAGTTTACTGTATTAGACAAAATCCACACCCCCAAATCTCTTTAAAATAACTCCTTTTTCACTGTGGACTCACACCAAATTATCCAAAGGACAACACATTAAGCTTCTTAGAAGCTCTTTGGTTTGAACAGCTTTCTGAGGCACCATACTTAGATTTTTCTGAGTTCTTAACAAATAATTTTATAATTTCATTTTTAGTTTGAAAGCTTTATTAAGATTTAACTCACATTCCATATAACTCACCCACTTAAAATGGACAATTTGATAGGTTTTAGTATATTCACAGAGTTGTGTAACCATCACCATAGTCATTTCTAATACTTTCATCACCTCTCAAACACCACCCCAAAATCATTAGTGGTCATTGTCTATTTTCCCCGAACTCCTAGCCCTAGGTAACCACTAATCTATTTTCTGTACAATTTATATAAATCAAGTCATACAATGTGTGGCCTTTTATGACTGGCTTCTTTCATTTACCGTAATATTTGCAAAACCCATGCATATGTCTATATTTTATTTCTTATTAACAATGACTAATATTCCATCATAGGGGTATTTATCATTTTATTTACCCATTCATCATTTGGTAGACGTTTGGGTTGTTGTCACTTTTTGTTTTTTTGTTTTATTTTTATTTTTTTTAAATTTTTATTTATTTATGATAGTCACACACAGAGAGAGAGAGAGAGGCAGAGACACAGGCAGAGGGAGAAGCAGGCTCCATGCACCGGGAGCCCGACGTGGGATTCGATCCCGGGTCTCCAGGATCGCGCCCTGGGCCAAAGGCAGGCGCCAAACCGCTGCACCACCCAGGGATCCCTGTTGTCACTTTTTGGCTACTATGAGTAGTATAGCTATGAACATTCATCTACAAGTTTTTGTGTGGACGTAAGTCTTCATTTATCTTAGGTATATGCCTAAGAGTAGAATTGCTGAGTGAAATGGTAACTCTATTTTTAGCCTTTTTAAGTACTGCCAGACTGTTCTCCAAAGCATTTGT